TTGAAGACTGGAAAAATGTTGCCTGGTCTGATGAGTCTCGAATTCTGTTGAGACATGCAGATGGTAGAGTCAGAATTTGGCGTAAACAGAATGAGAACATGGATCCATCACACTTATTCACGATACAGCACAGCCTCACATACTTTTGTTGCTTACATATTGCATTTTCAGATATTCATACAACAAACTATTCTGTGGGCCATGGAAATTTTGTGAAATTACCAGAAATTCTGGCAGTGAAGAGTTAACATACAGTACAGTAACATGGGTTACGATAAGCATAAAATGAAATAATACATAACAATAATTATTTTATATAAAACATGTTTTTTCTCTCTCTCTATTGCGGTACAGCTAGTACTAACCCTATTTGCCCTTGATTAAGCTCATTTAAAGTAATTAACCGTTTACTAGGAGTTACACCCATATTTTATGTAAAGCACAATGCTATGTTAGTTTTTTTTTTTTCTGAAAAAAAAATAGATGTGAGAACATTCAATGAAGACTAGCTATTCTCCCATTCCTGACGTATGTCTGTACCCCTGTGTCCTGTACCATTTTATGTTAGTAGTGACCTCCAGACTACTCCTGTGGATCAGCACTGTCATGAATACCCCCCCCCCTCCTTCTCATCCTCCTCCCCTCTTCTCTACAGTCAAGTCCAGGTCGTTTGAGGCTCTTATCTGTCAGCTGCTGAGATGTCAGTCACATATTGTGATAATGTTGCCTTCTGCATCAGAATTCTCAGATGAAACAGAATGCTTTGATGGACAGGAGTGTTGTGGGAGTAGGCCACTGAAACTGCTGGTGTAGGTACTCCGAGAATAACGCTGAATAAGTCAGACACGGATAGAGAGTAAAGAGGCTGAAGGAGAGCTCACTCATAGAATGTTAGAGTGCAGAGTGTTGACATGTTGAAAATGTATTTTTTAGGTTTAGTCAATACTGTATTTTATCTTAAAATAATACTATTTTTTATTATTATTATTCCACTGACAATGCATAATGTTATAATGTCCCAAAAAAAAAAAAAACATACACTGTAAAAAGATTGCTGTAAATTTTACAGTAACTTACTGGCAGCTGGATACCAGTAAGTTATTGTAAAAGTGTTAAAAGTATTAGTAGTGTAATTTCATTTACAGTTATACAATTGTAAACTGTATCAATATTTACAGTAAGAGTACTGTATTTTTCCTTTACATTACAAATAACATATTTTAATTGACATGAATAATACTGTATATTGTATTCATTTAACTACTGTATTTTTATTTATCTATTATATAATTCGATTTTTTTTTTACGATTTACAGCAGAAAATAATTACAGTAGTAAACATATATTTTCCCATAATCCTAGGTGATTTACAGTATTAGGGCCGGTTCACATATCGCGTCTTTTGCGCGCTCAAGTTCGTTATTTCAAATGTAGGCGCGCGGTATGCGCGCTCATAATGGAAGCGGTGCGGTCGCGGTGCGACGCGCTCGTTTTTTCCATGCGCGTCCGCGCCGCGTCGAGATAAAAACATCTCAACTTTTCAGAATACCGCAAGCGCACCATACGCACACAATAGGTCATGTGACAAGAATCAACTGAAGCGCAACCGCCCTGGCGCTTTGGAAAATGGAGAATGCGGCGCGCCCAGCGTTTTCTACGCGTTTTTAGGCGCTATATGTGAATCCGGCTTTATACTGTAGGCACATTTAACAGTATTATACTTTGCATATTACAGTAAAATACTGTTTAAATTACAAAAATCCGTTACAGTGAGGTTGTTGTTTTTGACCATTTTGTACTTTGCTTCTGTGCCTTAAAATGTTCAACACACTTTTTGTTTGTAAAACGAGATGTAGATCTTTGGTGGCTTCCAGTTCAGTTTTTTTTTTTTTTTTCCCTGGTTTAATGATCCTTAAAAAAAAGACTCCTCTGCCATGATGAATTCAAATGCAGAAGCACAGAACAGGCTTTTTTCAGCTTAGTTTTGAAAATAAAAAGATAATTTTGGACTGAAAGCTATACAGTATATTTCTATAGTTCATTGAACTATTTTATCTCAAAAGATGAAGGACAAGATGATTGTGATGCGATCACTTTCATGTCCATTTACAAAACGAGAAATGATCAGTGCGTTTCATTTACTTTCATTTCCATGCTTTAATAGCATACATTCAGTGGTTTTCAGGAAATCACTATGTCTATTTCATTCACTAGCACTTGTTATGCACTTAACACAACTCTGAGTGTGGTGTGTTTTTGTTCTCTAATGAATGGCCTCTCTTTTTTAAAATTTGTGGATTATATCTCTCAGAAGCATATATGAGAAGTTATGGTTTTGACGTTGAATGATACTCTGAATCTTTATTCAGGGAAATGAAGAGCCCTTTATGGCCACAATGACACCTATTCAGTTCCACATCTAAAACACTCTTCTCCATCTTCTCATTATCTCACACACAGATACAGCTCACTTTGGTTATGTCATTAACACAGCTATTGCACCGGGACACTCAGAGCGCAGGAAAAAATGATAACCAATAATTCAGATGACACAACTGAATGGACACGCATGTGTGTGCACATGCATGTGTGAATGGCTCCATGTGGTTGTGTGTTGGAATGAGAGTGTGCGTGTGGACAAATGTGATTATACATTTGGATACAGAAATGAACATGGCATTAAACATTTAGGTGAGCCAATGCAGCACTTTTAAGACTAATTTATTAGAACTCCACTGAAACGCTGTTATTTGAATATATAACCAATCATGAATCTTAAACGATATAGGGGGGCTTCATCATCAGTCATAATTCATCCACCTCATGAACAGATGGCCCTCTAATCATTGCAGACACTTCCACCTGCTAGACACAACAAACGTTTCACCAGCACCGTAGACAGCCGGCAATTCACAGAGCATCTCAAGATTGCAGAAGTCATGTGTTTCTGTTCTGCTCTGTTGAACATAACAAAACTCTCAGTATAAAGATCAGTGGCAGCTGCCTTTGCATAAAATACAAGCTCTGAAAGACTAAGATAATGAGATATTTGCAGAAACATGTTGCTTTTGCTTTTTATTAGTGGTTGATTCAAGTGTGTTTGGTTGATATAAAGCCAGTTCATGACAAAAATGTTTTACAAATAGGAATTTGTTAGGTTTGAAATTATGAAAAACAAAGTTGATTCAAATGCGACGAACTGTGTTTGCTTTGTTAGGACATCTGTGTGAACTTGAGACTTCACACATTCACTTAAAATCACCTTGACACCAGCTTGTTAAACGTCATTGCAAAAAAATGATGAGAAATGTGCAGTTAGTTCTGAGAAAAAGCAGAATTTGATTGAGGTCACTAGGTTTGATATTTTCAAATGACTTTCTTCTTCTTCTTGGTATTATTATGCAGTACACCAATGCTGCATTTAATCAACCAAAACAGTGATATTGTGAAATATTACTACAATTTAAAACAACTTTTGGTAACATTTTACTTGAAGGGGTGTGCATAAGACTGACGCGACACCTTCATAATCATGACATGACACATGTAATGAATATGAAAGAGGTTTTATGCATGTGTATGATAACTGTCATTAAGTGTCATTCTCTCAATTATGACATTTTAATGTAAATATAACATTGTTTGAGATGTCTTTATGACAACTTGACATAAACCAATACATCATAACCTGTCATAAATATGTCATAAACATGACATAGCAAATTCATTATCAAACTTAAGAAACCACTTAGCTTTATGGGTTAGCATTATTAAACTGTCATGTTGTTGGTTTTGACATGGGCTGTCATGAGGCCATTATAACAGTGTCATATTTTTTCTTGACCTAAACTACATTGGTACGTAGAAATTGAATTTGTCTATAAAATGTTATAATATATCTCAAAACCAATCTGACAGTTAAATGTAATGTTAACCCATGACGCTAAGTGTTTTTTTTTAGTAAGTTTAATAATTAATCTGCATCAAATAAATATCGAATATACATTATCCACAGTATAACATGCTTTCAACCTCGGAATGTCCAACTCTCAGCCGATTAATAAATGGTATGATGGTCTTGCAGTTTTAGAGTCTCTCATCTCAATGTCTCTCCAATCTTCCTGACAGAGTGCGAGAGAGAAAAGCAACATCGGAGCAGGCTATCAGGATCTAGCTAGC